GGGGGGGGGGGGGGGGGGGGGGGGCAGAAAGAAAATTGTAGTGACTTCTATCTCATGAAGTTTCCACCTCCAATTTCTCTCTTGTACCTGTTGGTGAGGTGGTCGGCTTGCAATGTGAGCTTGGACAGAACTCCAAACAGTCCTCTGAGGTGATAGTGAAACTGGTTCTCCAGGTCCGTGTTCTCATCAGAAGGGAGGTCTCCAGTGACCGGCGGCTGCTGCTCCTCCTGCTTCACCGCCATCTCCAGGAAGCTGGCGCCGCTGCTCATCTCCCTCTTCAGCAGACCCCACTCCATGTCGTTCTTTATGGACTTGAGGAGCAGGTAGTGCTCGTACATGTCCTTCTGCTTGTTGGGACACGGCGGTTCGTGATTACGGTTGTTGTTGGGCTCCAGCTCGCCGGCGGGCCCCTCCTCCAGCGGCACATCCCGCAGCAGGCTCGGCACCATGATGGTCTCGTCCATGTTGTTAGCGGCTGCGATGAAGCGGTGCATCACGTTGATGAGGGAGTGCTTGTTGATGGCGGAGTCGATTTGCATCATTTTGAAGGCTTTTTAGGTTGGCTTGGTTACGGTGTAAGAGCTGGCAGGTGGTGATGTTAAGGCAGAGCTGCTCGGTTAGAGGTGGCTGATCTGCAAGAGGGAGAGAGGAAACATGAGGATGCAGCAAAACAATAAATAAAATTTAAAAAAAACGGCACACAAATTGATGAAACGCTGCAAAAAAATTAAATAAATCCAGGGCTGATGCATTTTGAAACACAGATTTACACATTGAGCATGGGCGCAAAGGGAACCAATTCATAACCTGACACACACAACACACACTTTAGTGCAGCTAGGCAGGAAATAACAGAGGCAGCTTGCGTCTCATCCGTAGCTCAACACCCCCCCCCCCCACACTCACACACACACACACACACACACACACACACACACACACACACACACAAAGTTACATTAATAATCTCCCTCAATTTGCTGTAGTGCAACAGCCGACTCGACTTCCTGATATTAAATCGCATCAATAGACGACATTATTCGCGTCAGAGGCCTTACATATAAAACGGGCATTATTCGCGTCAGAGGCCTTGAATCTAAAAAAGGATGCAGACTGACCTGAACCACGAGGTAACCTGAGGAAAATGGTTCTTGGCGTGCTGGTTAAATATACCACGTCTTCTCAGCGTCTGCAAACCACCCGCCGGGAAGGAAAGTAAAAATTTCCTCAACAGTCTGCCGGTTGAACTCAGACTTTATACCAGACAGCCGGGTTGGGGTGGAGGATAGACTATACAGTCCGCCCTTCCTGGATTTTTCTACGCAGCTCATTGGGCCAGCATGGATTTAGGCGGACTCTTAATAGCATCTGATCCAAAACTGACCAATCACACGGCAGTTCAGAGCTGTCAGTCAACTACGTTTGTTTGCAACTATCTGCAGCCGCTCCTTTGCAGACCGTTTGCAGCCTGAAGGCAAAACAGACTCAAATGTGCACAGGGAGTCACGGTGTCAGGTGTATTTGGCTTTGTATTATAAGAAATATATATAATGAATGCAAAGTCCACCGTTTAGTATTTTTCGCTTTTTCCTCATGTCTCCACTGTCTCTTCGGCTTCCTTAATTTATTAAGTTACACAGCACTTCCACCTGGTGGTTGGACTTTGTTAACTAAATCTTTCCCCCCCCACATGTCTGAACAGAAACTAATCGTATTATTTTTACAATATTAACCTGTCAATCACAGTAAATACAAAATAACAATTTCCATCTACAATCTTTAATTATTCCAAAGCAAGGTGTTGGTATTACCTGATAGTTTAAGCTTGAAAATGACCATCTGTGTCCACGTTCAACATGAAATAGTGACACTATTATCTGCGCGTATGCTAGCAGTGCACAGGTGTATTTCATTTAGTTAATTATGATGATCAGGCAGTGTCAGACCATCGTGGAGGTTATTAGTTACACCTGTGACCATCCTGCTGTGTGGCAAGTCAAACTCTGGAACCTGCAAAAGTCTAGCAGTCAGCTCAATAATATTATTTTTATTGGCTTGTGGAGGGATGTTTATCCATTAAGTTACAGAAAAACTGCAATGATTAGGGCAAAGTCTAGAAAACATTATCTTTTGCAGAAATAGATTTGTTAATATTTTATGTTAAACTTGTCAATCGACCCTTGACATTTCGGCCCTTTAGTGGAGCCCGACAAGTTAATTAGTCTTGACTGTAAGATTTATTTTGTCAACATATATATACACTGCAAGTACACATGCCATGTTAGTTTCTAATGAAATTACTGATTGTAACAGAAAACTTGAAATCAAAGACTAATATTGTGACATTGAAAACCTCAGAAAACCTGTTTCATAACTTACTTTTGGCTTCATATATGAAATGTGCATCGTTTCAGTCCCCTCTCCATCTATAACATCAGGAGAATGTGTGTGTGTATATATACACACACATATCATGATAGACTATGTGAATTGTTGTTGACATATCCTGCTCTAGATTAGGATAATCTGAGTGAATTAAACAGTGAATGCATTTCTAGATTTTCTCCAAAATTGTCACATTTTCATTTATAGCACACAATATTTAAGTTAGTGCCAAACCTCAATCAAAATGAATTCATACTAACAACTCTCGACAAACTGCACTGAGGCATCTAAACTATGCATCTATGCTATATCCTTACAGTTACATGAAAAGTTGTCCCGCATATTGAGAAACTAAATTCCTGTTGTATTTTGTATGTAGTCATGTTCATCTGCATCTCTTCACATGACAGTAGCCTACAGACATCTGTGGGACAGATGCATCCTGAGCTGCATGTAGATCTCTGAGCACACACACACACACACTGTTGAAGATACTAAATGTAATCTTTATTTTTTTGTCTAGTATTTCACATGCATCCACAAAAAGAAGAACAATTTAACACTGACAACTGTGATATGAAGTTGGCCGGCGAATGTAACTGGCACACATGAATGCTGTTTTTTTTTTTTTAACACTACTGGCCTACGTAATCAGTAAGGCCCATTCTACAAGTCTTGACTGTGAATCACACAAACTTGATCTCAGGTTGGCGACCTCTTCGTCCATCTCTCAGGCTTATTTTGGTTTCACACACAGACAGAAATTCACTTAGTGTTGCAGAGATGTTTAACATTTGTCTACAGAGTTGTTTTTTAAAGCATAATTACAAAATAAGGCAGCTGCATTATACAAAGACACAAATGGAAATGCTGACAATTGGTCAATTAACTGAAATAAACTAACATCTACGCTTAATAGAAATCCCGAATTAAATCTCAGGAGTAACAAATGATCTCTTAAATGTTCAGGTCCCTTTATTTAAACATTTGGTCAAACTACACTGCAGATAACATCCTGTTTTGGGTTTCCTTTTCCATTTTTTTCCCCTTCTGCTCATTTGTCATTGGTGAATAAAAGAAGAAGCAGTGGGCGTTTTTCCCTTTCTAAAATGATATCAACTAACACGCACACAATCTTAAAATCACAGGAGATTCTTTCAACTCTATTTGCATCACGAGCTTCCCATCAGAGACCTGCAAAGACAGAAGGAAAACATGTCAGACAGGTTGTTAGACGCCGGCATAAAGCAGCTAATTCATACGCCTGGTACAATCTGTGCATGATTTAGTCTCCCAACTAGGAACAGTAATTCAGAACAGCTCACTTCCTCAATATTCTATAACTTTGCCGATAACAAGTCTCACCTGTGGAAGGTCACTGTTAGACCATCTCGTACTGGTTGTTGGTTATGTATCGAGACAAGCAGCAGGACAGGAATATCCCAATGAGCTGAGAGGAAACACGTTTAACGAAACACAGATTAATCAAAACAGACAGACTTAAAGGGAACGAAACGTTTTATCAGTTCTAAGAATGAATGTCCCTGTATAACCACAGATACAGCTGTGCATAGGGCGACTGCATTGGTGTTTAGACAGGCTATAAATAACTGTACACAGACTATATTGCATAAACCATCATTCAAAAGCAAAAACGAAGGTTGTAAATGTTACTTGATTCTGCACAGCAACTATCTGGTTCAACTTTGACCTCCTGTACTTAGTTTTACAATGCGATGGTGATTCATAATCAACATGTTGATGTGGCCACGTTTGCTTTCCAAGTCATAAAAATCATGGCTGTGAAAAACTCGTTCACTACTCAATATATAAAAAGACAGATAATGTATTCTATAGTGAGCAGAAAACTGGGATTTTAAATACAGTGCACTACTTTAAATAATGGTGCAGTACTAGTACTGCTTTATGAGAGGGTCCCAGTTTTGTTTATTCTTGTGCACGAGGACGCAAGTGACACGATTACAAATTTAACGCTTTAAGGAGTCACAACAATTTAAGCGTAACTACCCCCTCAAACCCTGCTAGAACCCTCTCTGTCGGCATATTTATAAAAATGCAACACGGTAGTGAGGGAGTGACTGGAGCGGGTGTGTTTAGTACGTATTAATGGTCATTGTCGCCTTTTAGACAGTATGCCATATATAGCAGACAGAAAATGAGGGGAGGGGGGGGGGTCAGTGTCTTAAACAGCCACCAGGACGCCACTATAGCTGGAATTTATTAAGAATATGTCTGGTTTTCTGCTCGCGTTATTTTATTTACTTATTGGTTAATTTAACAGAGACGGTGCACATTAATAAACATTACTGTCATTGCCACAGAATTAGCCAAAAGGTTAACAGATGTTACAAAGTCATCTGCCCAGATGTTGCCCTACTTTCCTCGCCTGTGTCACTGCATCCTAAATGCTTCTCTAACCAAAGCTACAAAAACAAGATGCAATGCTGGAAATAAACAAATGATATGTGCACGCAGCACAGTCCCATTTGTTTTGTACCTGGAAGAACGCAATCCCAAAAGAGATCCCTGCGATGATTCCCAGGTTGGACTCCATCACATGGGTCACCCGTGTGAAGCAGCCCTACAGCAGAAATACACATTTATAGATGTTTTAAAAGCTTTTCAGCTGACTGATTGTTCCTAAAAAAAACAACACAATCTTAAAGCCATTAAAACGACACAAGTATGGAGGTGTGCGTCGTCATGGTGTGAGGCAGTGAACTCACCACTGTGTACACCTCTGTCCCAGCCTTGTTGAGGTCTTTCAGAATCTCTGGTGAGCAGTTGGTGTTGTCTTTACAGCAGCTGGCAGGGACTCCATTCTTTTTAAAGTACTCTGTCTCGCCCCAGTCGGTGTAATTGTTCACCCCACAGCAAAACAACTATATGGAAATAAAGCAAAATGATTAGTGTCGCAATAAATCTCTTTAAGCTACAGAAAATGGGTCAAATAGAGTTCTTTGCTTTGTACAGTGAGTAACAAGTGAAGTCAGATAAGAGTAACACCATTAGCGTAGTGGAAAACAGCCCACTTACAGTCCTCTGGATGGCGTCCACTGCAGCGCTGCTGCTGCTGCTGCTGTCCGTGCTGTTGTAGGTCGCCACAGCGTTTCCATAGGCAAAGCCTAACTTGGCCTTGATCTGGCAAAACAAATATATTTTAGTGAGCGGATGTGATCCATTTAAAAAAAACATATTTGAGTGTTTTGGACAGTTAACTGACCTCATGTCTGAAGATAAAGCCTGAGACACCGGCCACGAGCTCAGCCAGGAACACCAAGGTGAGAAACATGGCATACTGAAGGAAGCAGTGCGTATAAAACAATCAAACAAGGTCACATCTCAGGGGAATATTTCAGGGAACTTGCTGCTGCACCTCCACTGACCAGTTTGAGCATCCATGGGCTGCCGCGGCATGTAGCAAAGCATCCGAACAGTCCGAAAATAACGATGATGGCGCCGGTCCCGATGAGGACGTATGGCGCATTGGTGCTCTCCTCGGAGGCCAGAGAGAAATAGGCCTCCAGGCTCACCTTCCCCCACACGCCCACGGCCAGCAGGATCACTCCTGTGAACTGAAGGCCACAGCAGGGAGAGTCAGCAGAGAGACAGAGACACAGACGTGCAGGTTTTTAGAACCAAAACCTGGGAATAAAGGCTCAAAACCACACTGGAACAGTTAACGCTAAGCAGCAATGTATCAAATCACAATCACATCTACACTATTTCCCTTTTTCTTTCAATGATTTAAAAAATAACTTCATGTTTATGAGCTAAACTTTGAAGACTTGACATCCAGACAAGTAAAAATTAATTGTTTTTAAAACCAGTTATTGGATGTAAAAATTGGACTGTAGAAGAAGAAATAAGACATGTTAATATGCAAGTTTGGGTTCTGGGAACTTCTGATATTTTCACAATATTCTGACATTTTACAGACCAAACAGTCGTATAAATGAATCCAAAAAATATTTGTCAGATTAGTTGCAGCCTGAATTGAACCCAAACGCTCACACCACCTAACCTCTTCCATCCTGTTTGGTGAAAACGCGACACTATACTAACGCTATGATAATGCCTCCAGATATACCAGTGATCAGCACTGAATCTGGGATACTTTTAAATAAGAACCATGCTGGGGTGTGAAAAACACAATTTCCCTCATTGATTTCCTTCATTAAACCTGTTCTCAGTGGAGGAAATGCAGGTGAAGAGAAGCCGATGAGTTAAAGTGGGATGTTGGAGCTCTGACTCACTTTGTGTATCGAGTAAAAAACTCTAATATTGTTCACAATCATCGTATTTTTGATAACCCCTCCTTGTGTCAGTCTTCAGATGCAGACTGACACACACACACACACACACACACACACACACACACACACACACACAAGCCTCAGCCTGAGTTTTTATCATCTCAGCATCTTTTGACTGCCCACACAAGTCATTAGCCTGAGGGGAGGCATCAGCTCAACCAGCCAAGAGCAATAAATTGGCAGATAAAAGCACTGACCTGAACTTTGTGTTAGCAGCAGCCTGAGAGATGGCTGTTTGCTCAGTACAAAGATGAAGGGGGGGGGGCAACAATGTGTCTGCTCATTATCTTTACAAGACAAGCTTATGTTTAGATGTTCCTTACATGTACTTACGGCTGCAACTAGCAGTTATTAGCAATTATGACAATTATTGTCTAATTTAATCATTTGGTTAATAAACAATAATAAACTCTTAGTTAATTAACTGACAAGTCCATCAACAGAAAATGTATCAGGAACTATTTTCAGTAATTTTTCCAGTAGAAACACTAAACATTCTCTTGTCTTGGCTTCTCAAATATGAAGATTTGCATCTTTTCTTTGTCTTATGCGACAATAAATCTGAATATATTTGGGTTTTAGACTGTTGGTCGATATTTGAAGATGTCAGCTTGGGCTGTCAGAAAGTGTTGATGCTAAAACTCAAACTATTTAATCAACTTTGCTAGCATATTATGAACATGTTTTTTAAGTTAGTTCCCAGTACTGTCGATTAGTTGTACATTAAAACCTCCTGCAACTACCTCAGATTAACATAAGAGAAGAAAAGTTAACATTAATATTTTAAAAAGTTTTGAAATGTGCCTACATGAAAGCATACAATTAAACATATAAGGATAATAAAAGGTTCCAATAATAAAAACTCAAATTAGTACCAAATTGACATAGTCTGTTTCTGACATATTATGGACCAAATGGTTAATCAAGAAAAGAAAGATGGATTAAATAGTGACAATAAGTTTGTTGCCACCCTATAATTAACTCTTTACAGGAAGTGATGTAACTGGAAAATAAAGTGTCAGTTACATAATTACCTGCCCATACATTGTATGTATAATCGTTGCAGTTTAACATTTAATTCAGTTGGTTTATAGTACAACAATTTAAAAAAAGTGTTAAAACGAACCTTCAATAAATAACATCACGTATAATAACTAAGTTAAACTGTAGTTTGTACGTTAGGTGTGACGTTTTTCTAAATCAGTGATAGAAAGTAGCTAACGGCTGTTTTGGACACAGAAACGTTGATAAATCTGAACACAAACAAACGGCTCCAACGGTCGGTACATTTTCAACAAGTGGTTCTTTGTGTCAACAGACAACCAGCTCTACTTAACTAAACTAAACACATTTACTCAACGTATTTAACTCCGTGTGATTGTTAGGACACTGCGTTAGATTGCCGTGTTGGCAACAACGCCGCGGCTTTTAGCCCCATTGTTGCTCCTTTAGCTTGTTGTCCCCCATTACGTGACTCGCAGCTCACCCAGAATATGAGGCTGTAGGAGATGAGGAAGGTCTTCAGGCAGGTAATCACTGGCTTCGTCTGAAGCCGTCGAGACGGCGGCGACATGGTTGTGTTTTTACTTCAAACTACAAAAAGAAAGGAGAGAAAAGTTGACTTCTCACTGAGGGGGAGAGGGGGAGAAAAAAAAACTTGAGAGAGAGGGAGAGGGGGGAAGTGTCGTCACTAACCCAGATTCACTTTCCTGACGAGAAAAACAGATCCAAACAATCCAGAGTGAAGCCAGCGGAGACATTCATATCACATCGTCAAGTGCAACTTTCAGAATAAAAGCTTTAAAAAAGAAAACTGACTGAAAACACTTTCATTATTGTACACACACAATAACTTTAAGGATGAATATTTAGTGAGGTTTTTTCTGCAAAACTGTCCTATTAAATGTGCATGTACAGTAAAAATGGATAAGTAAATACAAAATTATGACATAATGTAACATTGAAATTACCATCTCTTATTTTTTTCAATGAAAGGGTCAAATGTTTGGACTCATGATCTTTTAAATTTGACTTAATAAATCTAATATTTGTGCTAAGTCTAATTATGAGAAAGTAAATAAATGTTCTAAAGTACTAGCTCATCATTTTGAATAATTTGACTTTCTCTCTGACAAGTTTGACATCAAATCCAAATGTTTGGCATTTTGGTAATGTTCATTTTACATTTCCAATGTTCCATAATAATTTCCCAATTCATGGTAAATCAAAAGTATGATATACTTTGTCAAAATTCTGAGAAACCTTATTATCTTTTATTTTTTAATTGACTTTCCATCTTATAATTTAGACTCAGCATTTGGCTTATGTGATCAGTTTGCTAAGTCAAAGTCTAATTATGATTTAGTAAATATAAAATGTGGCTCACTACTAGCTCCTCATTTTGAGTCAAGTCAAGATTTTGACTTTCTAGCTTACATTGTGGCTTTAAATGTGACAGTAACCTCAATGATTTAACCTTCTTAACCAAAATTATGACATAGTAAGGTATACTTACTCGATCTCAAATAAATGCTTTTATTTTTAGCGCAGTAGCGTTATTTCCTGTCTGGTGCTGTCTGACTTTATAATAAAATTAATTATTCCTCTGGTGATGTGACACAGTTGAATTGGCTAAATTACATCAGGTAGTTATGTAAATATAATTATCATAACACGGAGCTCATAAGATAAACACAAAGATATCTTTTATTTTTATTACAGCATTATATCTTTTAGGCCTCCAGTGGGACACATTCAAACTAAATTAAACTTTGAAAGTACTACATTAAATCGTGTAAATGGACATTAGATATTACAAAAGACTTGTGGGATCTATTATGTAACTGTACAGTGTATTTTCTGTTTTTGAAGCACTTTGTGTATTGTTTTTAAAAAGTACTATATGTGCATAAAAGTTTTTATACATTATTACTAAAACAACAAAATTACCATTAGGAATGACTGAGGATGGGGATTATATGAGTAGCCTATAATAATCAGGGGAGATTAAAAATGTCGCCCATGAATCACTACAAGCCACCAGTGATCTCATTAGTGACACAATCAGTTAATAAATAATATTAAAGAGAACGGCTCTTCCAAATATTAATGTATGTCTATATTTTCACGTGTGGTCTTTAATAACCTTCACTTTCTGGGTTTTATGGGATGTTGGAGGGGCGGGGTTTAATGACGTGACTCAGTCGTCATGTTTAATACAGCGTTGGGAGGAAACATCAACACAGGAGATCCAATAGCGCCACCAAGTGGTGTTTGACTTTGATGATGAACTAGAAGGATCCTTTTCAAAAACTGCGGAGACTCTGGTATGACGGGAGCGCTCATTGTCCTCAACGGGGATAATTAAAAAAAAGTAAAGTTTTTTTAAAAAGTCGTTTGCTAAAGCAACTGTAAACATTCTTTGGATTATAACGTTGTACTTTTTCGGAGGGACTTTGTGATCTGAGCCAACCTGAGCAAAACAAACTTTGTTTTTCCAGGAGTGTCAACATGATTCTCAACCGCTTTGTTGCTGTGCTCATTTTATACTTCAAAGGTAAGTCCAACAAATAAGGAAACACGCTTTCTTTAGTCAAAATATCATTAAATTGTTCGTAAATCTTCTCTAAAAAGTAAAAAAAAAGAATCGTATCACGATTGCTCGCTAAAGTTACTCAAACATAGAATTCCCCTCCAACCCCTGCAGTAGGGAAATGCCTTCAGCTCAACAGTAATAACAACTGTATTAGATGCAGATGTGCTGGATGAATGCAAATGGATTCAACTCCTCCCTTTAGGAATTCAGAGCTGAATTGATGCAGCAGAATCCAGTCAAAATGAACTTAAATTGAGCTCGTAGTTGAGCTGCCTGCCTCTTCAGGAGCCCCTCTGCTTTGCTGACCAGGCAGTTTAATTACAGCTCGGCTCCAATCAATGCCAGTTAATTACTGAGCAGTCTTCCCTCTGGGCCAAGTGTGCAGAATCCTCTATTTAATCCTGCAGAGATAATAGCGTGACCTGAGATCCACCCCGACGCTCAGATGGTGCTGCAGAGTGATTGAACGGATGCTGGACACCTTTGTCATTAGAGATAAATGAAGCCTTTGTAACAAACAGGCAACATTCTTTTCAAACTGCACACCTTCCTCTGGTGTGACTCATTCCTGCCTTATGGACTCACTCTGCTCACAGCGTGTCTCTGCGTAAAGTCGGGACTGTGAGAGGTGCATGATGCACCCTGTGGCTGCATCAGTGTCTCGGTATTCTACATAGTAGAAGTGTTCAGACCCAGTACAAGTTCCAGTACAACGATGTAAAAATACTGCATCACAAGTAAAAGTGCTCAGATTAAAGAACAGAAGTATTGTCTGCTAAATGTTATCAAAATATTTCAAAATAAATTAAAAGTAGGCCTACTAGTTCTGCAGGAAAAGGTCCCCTGTGACTGATATATTGTTATTAAGCATTGGCTGCTTTGGGCTGTGGTTTTAGGAAATTTGAACAGAACTATTTTCTGACATTTTGAGACAAAATGATTAATAGATAATAAAAATAATCTTTTGTTGCAGCCCTAATTTTTTGAAAGCATTCATGAGCCAAATCCTGAAGAAACCAGTTAATCTTTAACAATGCACTTGAGCCATCAGTTAACTGTAGTAAGTAGTAAAAAGTACAATATTTCCCTGTGAAATAGAAAAGTAGAAGTATAAAATAGATTAAATGGTTTAGTTAATTAAGTACCAATTATACAGTGATTGGGTAAATGGGCTTGGTTACTTTTCAGCGCTGCAGTAGTTTTACCTGCATGTAATTAAAAATACTGACTTTTAACTGCCATGCATGATGTCGCCTGAAGTAATGCCTCTACTTGGGCCCTGCAATGAGCGTAGCTTGTTTTTTTCTACCTCTGTGACTAATTCTCTGTGAGGGGGACTTGGGAAACATTAGTCTGGGGAAGTGTTACTGAGTGGAACATCGGGCTCATTATGAGAAAAAAAACCGCTGACGATAGCTTTAATTTGCACATCGCTGGAACAATCTGAAGCAGCTTCCAGAGAAGAGAGAGGGGAAGTATTATTATTAGGAACTGTGTTAAAAGTGAACCCTGTTTGTTTGAGGGCCAGAAAACAGAAGGGCTGAGCTGCAGCAAAGGAAGCAGTACAGGAACTGCCTTGAGATGGGGGTGGAGGTTGACAGCCTGGAAAGTTTGGCACTCAGCTCTAAACATGGAGTCATTTCTTGGGGATTGCAAAATGAATTATGAACCACAACTGCTGAGAGAGCAGGATAACGGTGAAAAGGATTCATTGTGCAGAAAGACAACATTTTGAATAAAGGCCACAGTAACCTACAGTTGGCAACGCACGCCTTCTGCTTGTTACATGAAAAGAGATGAGTAAGATGGAAAATCTCCAAGCGAGTAATGAAAACATGCTGTGTGTCCTAACTTGTGGTGAATGTTATTGTCGATCCAAAATGCCAGAAAACACTAGAATATTTAGTCTAACATGCTTCCTCTGCACTCATATCTAAGTTAATTCCTTTCCCTTTCGAAAAGGGAAAACAACATAAACTTTATGCGATTTAGAGGATTTCCACGTTTAAACCCCTCAGGAGTTTCTGTTAGCATCACTGATTGCAAATCCAGGTGTCTATGGACTGGAATGTTATTGAGCTCATGTTAAAGGAAACCTGAAAGGAAGTTAAGGAAAAGAGATTGTGCGGTGAGAGTCATGGTCACATAAGAATTGTTAATGGTTTGTCTGATGTTTGTTTTTTCAGCTGGCTCTGGGACCACAGCGTATGACGGCTACAATGACTTTGTAGAAGAAGACAACGCTCCTCAGCTGGACTACAAAAGTGCGTATGGAAAAACAAACGCTCACTAGAGGGAGTTGGGTGATATGACAATGTAACACCAGTTATTATACCGTTCTGCTGTCTACTATCAGATGTCCCTTTAACACTTCAGTACCATTAGTGCTACATACAGATTTATACAGATACATACAGAATCTACATAAAGATTTACTCTTTAAACACAGACCCACACTGGTGTCATTCTCCGGGTCTGACCAATGGGGAGGTGACCTGCCACTCCCCTCGAGGCCCGGCCTACAGGAGCACGTTGGGCACCCGCTGTGAGATGAGCTGCGACCGAGGATACCGACTGCTGGGGAAGAGCTCAATTCAGTGCCTCGCCAACAGACGCTGGTCTGGCACTGCTTACTGCCGCAGTATGTGGAAGTTGAGACTTTAAATTCATATTTGAGGGTGAATCTGGTGATATTCTACTTTTTCCTTATTCAAAACACACCATTGCGCTGGCTAGTATGTTCCTTGATTACCATAAACATGGACTACACCATCCTGCTGTTGTAAAATCTCAACAGTGCACAGATTATTGTGTATTAATCCACTGCTAAAAGTAGTCCCCAACAAATTAATTACATTTGCTAAGACAGTTCCTTTGTAACAGCCATTGTTGGTTTTGGTCTTTCACAGGATTTGTTGACAAAAAATATAGACTATCACCAGCGTCCTCATTTCAGATAAACTGTATATTGATGATATGATTGTTTCGTCCTTTTCACTCAACATACTGTATGTATTTGTGGTGGTGTTCCTTCAGAGATGCGTTGCCATGTGCTGCACCTCATTCCACACGGCAGATACACTTGCACTCAAGGCTTCATGGTGGACTCCAGGTGCGAATTCACCTGCGACCCCGGCTATCGCATCGAGGGTGAATACTCACGCGTCTGTCAGCGCAGCGGCTCGTGGAGTGGAGCACAGCCGGATTGTGAAGGTACAAATGAAGGTCTTATTTTTGCAGATCCATAAAGCTAACCAGATGTGTGAACTCAAAAGTCTCTGTTGAACTGTCAACTAGAGGTTTAACTTACTGCCGTGAAATGAACCTGAAGTCAGGCCATCTGTATTGATGTCTAGTTTTTCATTATTCTTTCACAAGCCAGTGTGTATATTTCCTGCTCCTCTGGTTTTTGGACTGAATCCAGAAATGTGGCCTGCTGTCTTTCAGTCTTCATCTTCTGCTCTATGACTGCTACAGTAAGAGGAATTTCCTTCCTGCAAAATCTCTGTATATTTCAGATACCGATCCTCCAAAGATCAAGTGTCCTCCATCCAGACTCAAGGTTGCCGAGCCTGGAAAGCTCACTGCTCTGGTGACCTGGGACACCCCGGTTGCTACGGATACGGCAGATAAATCACTTGAGTATGTCGCTCCTTTCCTTCGCTTCCCTTTCCTGCTCACCTTGAAACGCAATTAAACACTCAGCCTTCACTTCGTCTCTCTGCAGTGTGATATTGGTAGGCCAGGAGCCAGGCACCGACTTTAAAGAGGGAGCGAGCATTATCCGATACAAAGTGTACGATCAAGCCAGAAACAGAGCGGCCTGCAAGTTTATTGTACGTATTGACGGTAAGTTGACTTATGAAATCAATTTAGATACACATTAACTCATTATAACTTGGATCACACACTGGATTTCTTATTTGCATTGTGTCCTCCTTCCAGTGAGAAGATGTCCAGATCTACCTCCACCTATGCACGGCTACCTCACCTGCTCCTCTGATGGGAACAACTATGGTGCAACATGTGAATACCACTGTGACGGAGGACATGAACGGAGGGGCGTATCTAGTCGCGTCTGCCAGTTCAACCGCAGCTGGGGAGGAAATCCTGCCGAGTGTGATCGTGAGTCTGCGTGAAAATTCCAATCATGCTTATGAATTTGCGGCATGAACACAATAGTAGGCTATACACGTGGGAGGTATCAATGCAGGATGCAATTGCGACTTTGTGTGTTTCTAGCAATGGAGATTAAATCAGATGTAAAGACAGTCTCCGCTCTCCTGGATCAGTTCTATGAAAAGAGGAGGCTGCTGATCATGTCTGCGCCCAACATATCTGACCCAGACTACCAGCTGCAGAACATCATGATACAAGTGAGGAAAAGTTGTGCCGCTGGTGACTTCACATGAATATTCCCTCCCAAAATGATAAGAAGTGCCGACAGAACAAGAGCCTAAAAATCTGTTCCTTGTTTTCTTTGTTTCAACCAGAAATCAGACTGTGGATTAGACCTGCGACATGTAACCGTCATCGAGCTCCTGGGCTCCCCGCCTCGAGAGACGGGTCGCATTAAAGAAAATCTGCTCGGCTCTGAAGTCATCGAAGGTTTGAGGTAAGAGTTAGATACCTCCTCACTTGGCCTACTTGTTCAGCAGTTTTATGGCTCATCCTGAGTGTGTGTGTGTCCCTGTATGTGTGTGTGTATACTGCTTTATAGAACTCCCATTCTCATTAACAGTAAGGGGTTGTTTTCTCCTCACTCTGTTAAAATGTCAGGAGCGTCCTAATAAAAAGGGATCCTCTGTGGAAAAAATGCACTTGAAGGATTAACACTGTTAAAAATAGCAACATCATAATTTCAGGGTCGCAGTAATGGGATTTTGAGACTGACAGAACATCAAAAGTAAACACCTGGCTTTGGTTCTCATGAGAATCAATGAGTGAGGGATTCTTTAAAAGTCCACATTTTGCACAAAGACAAGCATGTAGGTACTAGTTTATCTCAGAAGAGAGAAAGAGATGTGTAATTGGAGTATGTGGCGCTGCTCACTTTTTCCAGACTGGAAAATCTTTTCAGTCTCTCCACTGACACAAATCCCACAGCTGTGGCATATTGAGGTACATTTCATGAGTTTAATGCAAAGCACTCTGAGAAATGCAGACTGTCAGACATCACTAGGGTAGAAAACGTAGAGGGACCGGTTTACATCAGATCAATGCTCGTTAGGGCTAAAGGATATCGCCATAAATGTAAACAAGAGCATTTCAGAGTTAAGATTGAATGAATATTTTAATGTTAGTAATGCATTAGGTGACTGTGTATTATAAAAGAGAATTATCACCCAACTATATTATTTTTATACATTATATTTTCTTCACCTTTTAGCATCTTTCAGCTAATTGTTTCAGTTTTGAAAGCTGAAAGCTTTACCGTTAAATTGACTTTAGAAGCAACATTATCTTTCATTTGCAGTTGCGTTTTTGGCCACCTGGTGAGTTTTAGTACAATTATCACTCTTCTTCTAGCTCTGTTATAGTCTCCACCAACTCCTGAGGGAAATATATGTCTCGCGGGTGATAATTATCTGTGGATCAGTCACTACGAGCATAAATAAAAATATTGCAGCTATCAAATGAGATGTTGGGAGTGTTCCTTTAACAATCCAATGTGTGTGTCTCTCTGTAGACAAGTGTTCAGAATCTCCAGATTCTACTTTAGCATGTTGCTGCTGGACGAGCGCGGACTGGACCGAGAGCGCTTCATCCATCCGATGGCATCTGAAGAGCTGTTCTCCTACATCGATAGCTTCCTGCTGGATGAAGAGGAGCGAGAGAGACTGGAGCTCCACAGGGACTTCTGTGACTAATTTAATAAACCTCTCTGGTTGCCACAGCGATAAACTCATTAGCTTTACTAAACACAAGATGAGGAAGGAGGACAAACAACCAGACACCGGGTCCAGAGGGACATTAGGCGGGGAAGGACAAGAAGGCTGTTCCTCATGTCTAAATGTGATCACTTAACACTGAAGTTCTAGCACTGTTTTCTCTCTCAAACAATCCAGAAACTGGACATCACAGCTGCAGAAAGTAAAACACATTAAAATAATCACATATTTTGAACCATAGATAACATGTTGGATACATGAGGTGGATTAGTATTTTTGTCAAAGAGCCCTTGTACTGATGTTGAATGAGAACTTAAGACGACAATCACTTCAACAACAGAATACTGAGGAAGTCTTGAGATTGTTTTTAAATCCAGCTGGTATGGACGCTCAAGAACAGTCTTTGGGTTTAGTACATTTTTTATTGGGTGAACAGAATATTCATGGAATTGAGGTAAACACGACTGATCACATAGTTCAAAATCTACATATAAACTAGCAAACAGACAAATTTAATTCATTAAACGTAATAAAATAAGGCTTTTCATGCAACTAATATAAATATAATTTTTACAGAAGTATTACAATTTGGAGCACAATTTGTTGGATACAATACCAGAAATTTTGTACAATACCAGATTAAAACGACTTGTTTTCCCACGCATCTGTGTAATTCTGTACATAATTATAAGGAAAAAGGTGAATCATTTCAACACTTTTTCTGTGCAATAATATATACAGCCTGAATGTTAGAAACATAAAATGACTGTGTAGGTGCTCTTAAAATCAGACCAAAGTTTAGTGTTGCGATGTTTTAGGGGGGGGGGTGGTGCTAAAGACAAACCCCATACAGGGAGGCAGATGTTCAGCAGGCCAGTGTGTCCGTTTACAGCCAACCAGCGTGTAGGTTCACTTTAGTAAAGAAGCTTCTGGTCTGATAAAATGGCCAAACAATAATAATAATAATAATCCACAATCTCATTCGTCACAGCTTCTCCTCTTTCGTCTCTGGTTTCTATTGGAGGGTGCAGGCCTGTGAGCAATCCTCATTTGCCCTTCACCATAGTCGAGCGCAGTGGAAGAGTGCCCTCTGCCCACGAGTCTGGGTACTGCATCATCTTCTCCCACAGACTGACTTCCTCTCCAGCTGGGTCCATTTCCACTTCTCCTGTTTGTACAGTGCCTGCAGGAGCGAAGATTACATGAATGTAAAATGAAGTGCAGTCTTTTTTTACTATTGATGACGGCAAATTCCTTGTACTCGCTGAATTTTCACACATTGTGGAAAACAAATGGAAGCCTCGAAGGTGCTTAAACAGTAATCTAAAATTAAGCATGTCTTTCTCACAAAGGCAGTAAAGCTTTGGCAATGAAACGAAAAGGGTAGACAGGGTATTAGTTTCTCTTTTTATGAAGGTTAATTAAATTTTCCTTCCCTCTAGTTTTACACCTATGTCTAGGGTACCAAAACCATTACTACTACAAAAAGGTTGAAGCAGTATAAATCAGGATGAACCAAGGCCAAAACAATAAACAAAAGAATCTACCTCCTCGAAAACCTTTGTGAACCAGACAAGCAAAAAGTCGTTAATTAAATCAGAATCCCTAAAATAAATGCATGCTCACCCCTGCAAATGTGGTGACATTTACAAAAGGTGATTTACAATACTCAGTTAACCAATAAGCCTAAAAAGACCTCCCAGAATAACAATAGTAACACAATAAGGAGAAATAAGAGAAATATCCAATTCATTCTCACATGTAAGCCCTGAAAGCCAGGTGCAAAAAAGAATAAAGTATTTAGAGAGTTCCATCTTTGACCTTTACTTGAGCCGAGACGAACTCCTCCCAGAAATTCGTTGCTTGACATGACCTCTCTGTCCCACACCGTCAGCTCCAGACACATCTCCTCCAGCTGCTCCAGAGCCAGCTCCTTGTACACAAATGTGTGGTCGTAGTGGGGGTTCAGGTTCTTCTTCACAACTGAAGTCTTCCTCTTTGTGGTCTTTGCCTTAGTTAGGAACAAGTACCTGCAGAACCACAAACATGTTGGGTCTTTTAAAAGAGAAATGCAATATGCCATTTTAAAACTGCAGAGTTTGTCACTCACCCTTTTACAAAGCTATCCGAGGTCCCTCCTGGTTTCATTGCAGTCAAATTCTTTGCCTCTTTAATAAGGACATGTAGTTCTCCTCCTCCCTCAACCATCACCTTTTTTCCTGAGGAGAAGATGGACACCTTTAGAAAATGAAGGCAAAGTGCATCAAACACGGTCAGAGTTTCTTGTCATAGTCTTACCTTTGATTTTCTCGGTTTTTGGCTTTGTAGGTGTGACATACTTCAAGGAGATCACCAACTCTCCTTTGTACTGACCAAACGCTGAAGCAGGCCCACCAGAGGGTGACTGTTTAAGAAAGGTACACGATATTTAGGACACAAACCCAAACAACACCAACACCTGACTGACACTGGATGGCTGCGAATGCAAATGTCAATATTTGTGCGTGGAAGGAAATTTCCATTAACATAGCAAACAATATTTACCAAAGGTTTCTTTGAATTAGGGTCAGTACTTATACAAAATTACACAGATTAACAAATTATCCAATCTGTTTGAGGTTAGGAGAGTTTTCACATAATTTTCAGGTCCTCTTTACCTCACTTTACAACCCAGTAGTCTATGTGCATTTTGTCATACATGATTGTGCTTTTTTGGAGCACTTTTTGTTCTCTTGTCCATTTGACAACTCGCTGACCAAGTGTTGATTGCCAGACTTTTGTTTTCTCTGAAAAATGGTACTCCACATACTATAAAAAATGTTGCTAACAATATTTATAATAAATATGAATGAGTTGAACAGGTGCAGTTTTTGACCTCCGGTAGTGCTATGCAGCAATATTTTACGCACGGGTCCCCTTTTTGTTTGACAAGTTAACATGTATGCAAACAAGGCAGGCTCTAAACCTTTAAGAAAAAGAGGAGGAAGGAAAGGCATTCAACACGTTTGTTGGATCATAAGGACAAACAAACACCTTTAAGTCCTTTTCCTTGAGGTGTTTCCCTATTTGTTAAATCCATCAACAAGAGGTACCCTGTGGAGTTCCTAACCTCTATTAGACTGCTTGTTAGTAAACATAACATGGTACATCCCATGTTTATTAAGTATTTTATGCGTCTTTCATTCTGATCTACCTTCCCCATGAGAATCATGGTGTCCGTGTACGGGGAGTCGAGGTCACGGGTGTCCAGAGCGATCTCCACCTCTCCGAGGAAGGCGTTGCGGCTGAAGCGACCATAATGCCAGACTGATATCAAGATGGAGCGAGTGAACAGCTGAGTGCGACCGATAGAGTACTGTTAGTGGGAGAGGAGGACAAGACGACAGGATTGATCAAAGGGCTGTCTCAATACTGAAACCTTATATCATTTTAATGCTCTAGTGCCGAGGGAGTTTTAAATGAATCATAGATTAAAGTAGAAGATGAATTCAGATCTTATCGGAAGCGCCATTAACCATCTTAAAATCTAAATAATTAATTACCTTCCTCTTTTACAGAGCAAATCTAAAAAAAAAGTCATTTTTCACAAATTGTTTCATCCTGCTGCTTCCCTTTTAGCAGTATTGTTTGTCACTGTATTTAAGCAGACTACATTGGACCAAAAATCAATATTTGACAACAGCTTTTCTTATCTTTAATGTCAATATCAATCTTATAGTCTCTGTAGGCGTGGTCATTATTTGCAGCAGGTATTGCATAAGGTCACTAATCAGGGAGTGTCATTCAGTCAACAGGATAAGGTCAACAGTTGCAGTAGAGTTAGCGACGTTCACGCTATAAACCATCACCTTCAGTGTTTCTTCGTAGACGGGGTTGACTGTGTTTCTCTTGATGCTGGTTTTCCTTTTGCTCTGGCGAGATTTGTCAGGGAGCAGATAACATTTGACGTAACTGAAACACAAAAACAGAACAACGCGACTGCTGGTTCTTTTGCCTTATTTGCTGACTACATGCTATGAAAATATCTGTTGACATTCAATTTCCTGTGAAGCTCAAGTAATCACCTCTGGGGGCGAGTATCAAGACTTTTGTAAATACAGCAACTTCTTATCTGCACAGATCAAAGCTGTGTTAACATCACTGAGGAGTGTGTGTGTGTGTGTGTGTGTGTGGAACCACGCGTCTGTTTCAGAGCCACAATCTGCACTCTGAAAGCCAAAATTTGAGCAAACTGCTTCGAATGATGCGTTTCGCCTCGTGGAGCTCCACATTACATCTATTTGAATATTTACGGGTGGGAAAGCTGCTTCGAGGCATTGCCGTAGGCCAGCCCGTGGCACTCCTTGATGAGGACTTGGAGGCTCTGGGTGTGTTCGTCGTAGCTCAAAGAGAAGATGAGGTCTCCGCTCACCTCCACGCTGTCAAAGTCTCCTGCTTCACTGTAAATGCTCATCAGGCTGCCCAGTGTGCTCTGGAGAAACATACATACACCCAACCTAAATAGATAATCATCAACAACTCCTGTGTATGTTCCAAGATTCATTAATACCTAATATTAAGATAATGTTTGGATAGACACGCTCTACAGGTTTATTGCTGCAGATCAGAGAAAAAAAACATATATACACATATACACACATATATACGTATATACACATATATACACACACACACACACACACACACACACA